GAGAGAGAGAAAGAGAAAGTGAGAAAGCAAGCTGCCAGGTCTGGGGTTCAAACCATGGTTGGCCTTGTGAGAGTCTAGCACCTTAACCATCATGCTACCTGCTGCAGTTTTTTTCTTTTTTTTTTTTTTTGAGAGAGATTTTTGTAAAACGGTGTGTGCACTTGCCAGAGAGAGAGACAGAAAGCAAGCAATCACCCCCCAAGGGGAGGGGGGAACACAGCAATCCCTTCTCCTCTATTCTCCTCTCAGGATTTTGAGCACGCATGTACATACTCGCAGCTTGAATTATTTTTCCTCTCTTTTTTTTTTTTGAGAGGTTTTCTCTATAGGGCGAGTGTGCTCACCAGACAGACAGTAACATAGAGACAGAACGCGAGAAATCACCCTCCAGGGGGATGGCCACACCGTAATCCCTTCTCCTCCATTCTCGCAATCCCTTCTCCTCCATTCTCCTCTCGGGATCGCACACACGCCCCGTGTGTTTTAAGCCACCGGGTCCGGGACGCGAACCACGGTCAACTACGTGGGAATCCAGCGACATAGCCATTATGCTAACTGCTGGTTCCCCCTCACAGCTTGAGTTTTAAACCTCTGGGTCTGGGTCTAGAACCATGGTTAATTACATGAGAGTCCTGTGATGTAACCATTATGCAATCCACTATTCTCCCCCCTTTTCTAAAAAAATATTTAACATTGATGAATTGGGTCCAGCAGGTGGTATAGTGGTGGTTAAGGCACTGGTTTCCCACATGGCTGACTATGGTTCGGGTCCTAAACCTGGCAGACTGCTGTCTCACTTTCCTTCTCCCTTTCACTCTCTGCCTCTGGTGAATGCATGTATCCTATAGCAAACTAAAATAACAATATCAAAAAATAATATTAATCAAATAAGTCTAAAAATGTAATAAATTTTATATTAAATTTACTTCATGTTTTTTTTTCTTTTTTTTAAGAATTATTTTGTTGGACCAGCAGTTACCGTAATGGCTATGTCACTGGACTCCCACATCATTGACCGCGGTTCAAGTCCCATACCCGGTGGCTTAAATTCACGCCGGGCGCGTGTGCGTGCGTGTCCAAGATCCCAAGAGGAGAATGGAGGAGAAGGGATTGAGGTGTGACCATCCCCCCTGGGGGGGTGATTTCTTGCTTTCTGTGTCTCTGTCTGGCGAGCACACGTGCCCTATAGCAAAAACCTCTCCAAAAAAAAAAATTATTTTGTTTAACTTTATACTTACTTTAATTTGAGGGAGACAGAGTGTGTGTGTGAGAGAGAGAGAGAGAAAGCAAGCCACCAGGTCCAGGACTCAAACCACAGTTGGTCATGTGGAAATCCAGCATCCTTAACCACCACGCCACCTGCAGGCCCCGAGCTCCCTTTTTAAAGAGATTTTTGCTATAGGGCATGTGTGCTCACCAGAGACAAAAACAGAAAGTGACAAATCATCACCCAGGGGAAGTGGTCACATTGCAATGCCCTCTCCTCCATTCTCCTCTTGGGATGTTGGGTAGCCAGATGCCCCAATGGACTACATGGGAGTCCAGCGACATAGCCATTACGTCAACTGCTGGTCCTCACACCTTTTTTTCAATAATTATTTTATTTATCTTTATTTACTTATTTAAATTTGACCAGAGAGGGACAGAGTGAGAGACAGAGTGAGAAAGTGAGAAGGCAAGCTGCCAGGTCTGGGACTTGAACCGCAGTCACCCATGTGGGAGTTCAGCATTCTTACCCACCACCACCTGCCAGCCGGATGAAATGCTGGGGGAAGCCCCATCTCAAGGCTTCTAGAACACTTCTACTTCAAGTGTCTTGTTTTCCTCTTCTGACCCTTGTGATTACCTTAGATCTCCCTCCAAGAAACCAAGATCATCTATTGAAGGTTGGCTGGTCAAAGCCTCTCTCATCATATATTGAGCTAGTCAGCGAGATCACCAGTCTCGCTCTCCAGGTTCTGGGGAGTCTCTGAGGGACACTTGTAGAATTCTGCCTTCCTCACAACCAGGCCGACTTGCCATGTCTAGAATCCTACACCCCAGGGTAGGTGAAGAGGCTTTTCGATCCGGCCTGGCGTGGAACCGAGGGCCAAGGCGTAGGAAAAGATGAACAGCACCCTCACAAAACCTGTGCCAGAGACGGGCCTGGAGTTGGGTGGGGAAGGCCCTGGGAGGGGCACAGCACAGGGAACCCGACGGCTGGCCTCGAGCAGAGCCCCAAGGTTGGAGAGAGCCCCTGCAGGGAGCGAGTGGGGCTGGCCTGGCACGGTGGCTCAGGTACTTTCCTCCCGCATGGCCAGCCTCGGTTCTAGTCCTGGGACCTAATAGCTTGTTTTATCACTCTCCCTCTTTCTCTCTGGTCAAATTAAATAATAATAAAATTAAAATTTATTTTAAAAAGAGCGGTGGTTGTCAAGGCTGGTGGGAGCAGACCCAGTGGGTCACCGTGAGGGACTCAGAACCCGGACAGTGAGGCCAAGCCACCAGGCGAGGGGGCCT